TTGGTGCATATATCTGAATGGTTGTGGTATTTACTGGGCTTCCTTGTAAGCGTATGGATATAATCCTGTCACTCACAATGTTGTACTTCAAGATGGATCTAGAAATAACTTTTTTTACTATAAAGGCAACCCCATTTTTCCTTGTCTTTTCATCTCCAGAGTAATATATCATATGGTCATCTGACTCAAAATGCCCATATGATAGATATATAGATGGGTAAAATATATAATCCCAGTAGGAGATGGCTGTGTTGACAACTTGAGATTGTTTCTACCTGAAAAGTATGCACGTACTCTTTTTCTACTAATGTGTATGTCTTTGGATGTCAAGTATACAACTAGAACATCAGTCTGCATGAATACTTTATTCTGTGAATGTATTATATTCTCTTCAGCCCTTTATTGCTGGTCATTTCTATTTTTTAGCCTTACAGTTGCTTGTAAAGAAAGCAATTACAGGCTTCTACATAATTGTCTAATATTTTATTGGAATAAATTTCCAGAAGGAATTTTCATTTTGTGAGTACTATCCAACTAACATCCAAACAGACTGGAAATGATACTCCTGTCATCTGTATTTGAGTATTCACCACTCTCTGTACGCAGTATAAATAATAATTTTTAAATATTTTCTTATCTGATAAGCAGAATATTTGATTTTCTTTTTAACTTCCTTAATTACTGTAAATTTGACATCTTGACATGTTTACTTAATGTTCCTGACCTTTACCTACTTTTCTGCTAAAGGATGTCTTTACTAATTTTCAGAAATCTTTGCACTTAAAAATAATCATCTCGTTAATCTCTTATTGAAACTGTGTTCATCATTTATTACAGTATATCTTAAATGTTTATATATTAAAGTACATAGTCTTTTTCCATATGATTTTCCCAATTAAGATCGAGTTTTAAAAAGTCCTCTCTAGCTCTTTAGATTAAGTATGTATGTATAAGCATACAGCCACAGCTATAGGTTTTGATCTGCATTCTATTGGTCTTATATATGACAATTTAAAGCTAATTCATCAGAAATTTATTTCAGTTCTTGCCTCCATATTGAAATGTATTTATCTAGGCTACCACAAAACAATTAATTAAATAATATTTACTTCTCCAGTAGTCCAAGTGTTTTCTAGTCACTTTAACATGGCAAACGTGTTAATTCTCCCTTTAAACATTCTAATCCATTCTATTGGGTTTATTCCTCCCCCCTTTTTAAAATTGATTTGCATACAAAATTTGTATATCATTCATGTTCATTGTATTTCACACATTCCTACAGTTACATTGTGTTTAACTTGTTTGATGCATTAAAAACTTTACTCATTGTCATTGAGTCAGAATCAATGCATAGCTGACAACTCAAAGAATTCTCAGAGACTATCTGATAAGAGTTTGGCCATCTTTCTTCTTTCATGGGGCAGCTGATAGATTTGAACCTCCTGTGTTTGGGTTGGCAATACAACTTCTTACCTACTAGGCCAGAAGAGCACCCTTTTCATGATCTAGAGTTACTCAGGTGGCCTGATGGTAAGAAGCTCCACTGCAATCCTGAAGGCATGCAGTTCGAGACTACCAGCTGCTCTATGGGAGAAGAATGGGCAATATCCTCCCACGTGGTTAACTTGCTTCTGAAAACCCGCAGGAGGGTCAGCTATGAGTCGGTTCTGACTGTATGGTACACAACAACAAATCATAATGAAAAGTACCATAACTGGGTGACTAAGAAAAAATAATTCTGAAAGTTGTAGAGGCTGAAAGTCCAAAGCAGAGTCTCATACATGATGCTTCACTCAGAGGCCTGTCTCCCCATTCCTGAAGTCTGCCAGCTGTCCCTACTTCCTTGACTTGTTGGTGATCCTCACAGAACATTTGTCATCCTTTTATGTGTTTCAGTCTTTATTCTTATATTTTTATAACTGATCAGTGATTAGGTTTGATATCCTTCTTATACTAGTATGACAAAACAAAATCGTCATTATTA